GGAGGAAAGCCAGGCAGGCGCGCTCCGCTCGCGAGGCATGGCGCTCGCGGCCGCTCGCCGCGAGCAAAGGCGTGCGACGGGAGGCTTTCGCCCGCTGGGACCCGGGGCCGTCGAGAGGCGCGGCCCACTTTCGCCGCCCACTTTCGCCGCCCACTTTCGCCGCCCACTTTCGCCGCCCACTTTCGCCGCCCACTTTCGCCGCCCCCTTTCGCCGCCCACTTTCGCCGCCCACTTTCGCCGCCCCTTTCGCCGCCCACTTTCGCCACCCACTTTCGCCGCCCACTTTCGCCACCCACTTTCGCCACCCACTTTCGCCACCCACTTTCGCCGCCCACTGTAGCGAACGTGGGCGGCGAAAGTGGGTGGCGAAAGTGGGCGGCGAAAGTGGGTGGCGAACGTGGGTGGCGAAAGTGGGCGGCGAGAGTGGGTGGCGAAAGTGGGCGGCGCGAAAGTGGGCGGCGAAAGTGGGCGGCGAAAGTGGGCGGCGAAAGTGGGCGGCGAAAGTGGGCGGCGACAGTGGGCGGCGAAACTGGGTGACGAACGTGGGTTTGCTTGTCGTGAATATGTCTCTTCCTTGTCGTGAAGCTGCTTGTCGCGAAACCTTCCCGGCCATCCTTCTCTCGCCTCGTGTGTTCTGCTCTCGCCCCTGGTTTCCCAGGAGCTGCTGGAAGTCGTCGGGCGCCCTCGTTGGTTCCTGGAGGCCTTCTCGCCCCGGGATGCCTGTCAGCAGCTGTCGCTGGGTCTCGTCGTCGTCGTCGTCGTCGTCGTCGTCGTCGTCGTCGTCGTCGTCGTCGTCGACGTCGTCGTCGTCGTCGTCGTCGTCGTCGTTGTCGTCGCTCGTCGGCCGTCGGCCGTCGGCCGTCGGCCGTCGGTCGTCGACGACGAGGGCGGCGCACGGTGCACAGGCGGCGGTCGCGGGCGCCGCCGACCAGCCCGGGGCGTCCGCCGGCGACCCCCGCCGCCCCGGCGAGGGGCCGGCGGAGGAGCCGCGCGGGGCCGCCGCGGAGCCGCGCGCGCGGAGCCAGGAGCCGCGCGCGCTGGGCGCGGGCGGGCGGGAGCCGGAGCTGGCGGCGGAGGAGCTCCACTTAAAACAGGGCTAGGATCGGGATAAATCGCTCCAGAGCGTTCCGGAGCGCTCTCAGAGCGTTCCGGAACGCTCTGAGAGCGGCCGCGGCGCCCAATACATCCTCCAAACCAGCCGATTCTCAGAGATTTCGAGTTATCCCGATCCGATTTTGTCCCGATCTTCGCGTCGTTTTACCACTCGTTCTGGTCTGAGCATTTCCTGAGGGTGGAGGGCTCGGGGCGAGATCCATGTGGGCTCTTTTGCACCTCGAGGGTCCATCCGTCTTGTGATCCACCTTTTGCAGACTCAAGCCTCGAGAACCAATCGAGGCTGCATCTCGGATTTCACACCCTTTGCCCTCCACCCAAAGAAAATGCTCGGATTTCACACCCTTTGCCCTCCACCCAAAGAAAATGCTCAGCAGGTGGTAATGTTCTGTCGGGCGTGTCCCCCTACAGGGGGATTGTCGACGAAACATAAAAAATACACCAAAAATACCCCAACAAGGTCAAACAATACCCTAAAATAGTCCCCAGACCATTTTTGGATTATTTTTGGATTATCTTTGTGGTATTTACGTAACAGCTTTTGCTGATAGGTTTCTAGTGGTCTCAAAAGAGAGCAGCAGATGACTCCACAGGGGGGTCGGGGCGGGACCCGGGGCGGTGCCGCCGAAGCCCAAATCGCTTGGAACATCCTCGCAAAATCGCTCTTGGCGCTGCTAGAACTCCATCCCCGGCGTACATTTTGGATGCCCGGAGCCAACTGTAGGCCACTTCGTGCTCTTCGACTTCCCAGAACTTTATTCCCGGCGTGCATTTTGGATGCCCGGAGCCAACTGTAGGCCACTTCGTGGTCTTCGACTTCCCAGAACTCCATTCCCGGGCCACATTTTGGATGCCCGGATCCAACTGTAGGCCACTTCGTGCTCTTGGACTTCCCAGAACACCATTCCCGGGCCGCATTTTGAATGCCCGGAGCCAACTGTAGGCCGCTTCGTGTTCTTCGACTTCCCAGAACTCCATTCCTGGGCCACATTTTGAATGCCCGGAGGCTGAGGCACTGAGGCTGAGGCTGACGCTGAGGCTGAGGCAGGCTGAGGCTGAGGCTGAGGCAGGCTGAGGCAGAGGCTGAGGCTGAGGCAGGCTGAGGCTGAGGCAGGCTGAGGCTGAGGCCGAGGCTGAAGGCAGACTGAGGCTGAGGCAGACGCTGAGGCAGGCTGAGGCTGAAGCTGAGGCTGATGCTGATGCAGGCTGAGGCTGAGGCAGGCTGAGGCTGAGACTGAGGCTGAGGCTGAGGCTGAGGCTGAGGCTGAAGGCAGGCTGAGGCTGAGGCTGAGGCAGGCTGAGGGTGGGGCTGAGGCAGGCTGATGCTGAGGCAGCCTGAGGCTGAGGCTGAGGCTGAGGCTGAGGCTGAGGCTGAGGCTGAAGGCAGACTGAGGCTGAGGCTGAAGCAGGCTGAGGTTGAGGCTGAGGCAGGCTGAGGCAGGCTGAGGCTGAGAGTGAGGCAGGCTGATACTCAGGCAGGCTGAGGCTGAGGCTGTGATTGCGAATGCCGTTGCCACTGCGACTGTCATCGCGAATGCGACTGCGATTGTGAGAACAGCATAATTTTACAACTGGATTCGGATCTGAATCTTAAGGAGAATGCTTCCAGATATGCTTCTACACATCGCTGTTAGGTTGCTTTGCCGGGATAATTTTGTATTCTTCGTCGAAAATCCCCCTGTATGGGGGACAGGCCCGACTTAATGGTAGTGGGGGCCCCCTTCGGAGCCAGCAGGGGCCCCAAAGGAGGCCCAAACGGCTGCTTCAGGTCCCTTTCGCTCTGCCCCCCTACTGGGGGCAGAGCGAGGATAGAGAATTGGCTGGAGCACCAGACTGCTTCGACTGCGCCCGTTGGCAAGGCTCCCGACTTCGCTCATGTGGCCCCCCATTTTCACCACCCACCAAACCACCCCAACCCAACCCGAAGGCCTCAATTTGCCCTCCATTTCCAGTGGGGGGGGGTCGGGGAACATCGAGAAGACACATACGGAACCCGTAATTACCCCCCCAAACCCGAAATATCCCGAAATTCGGGTCTTCGGATTGGGTTGGGGTGGTCTGGTAGGTAGCCACATTCAAGCCATTGCCACCCGCCCGATCCTCGCCCCCCGCCTCCGCAGAGCCTCTCGGGTCATGAAAGCAGCGCGGCGGGAGGTATTTCGGTGTTTTCAGCCTCGGGGGACCCTCGCTCGGCCTCGGGGCCGTGAACAAAAACGACTCGGGATGAAAAGCCAGTCCCCTGGGATGGGTCGAGATTCTCGAGATCTCTGAGGGTCGATGTTATGCCAAACATCATGATGTCGAGGGTCCGGGTCCTTCTTCTCCTCCTCCTTCTCCTCCTCCTCCTCCTCCACCTCCTGCTCCTCCTCCTCCACCACCTCCTCCTCCTCCTCCTCCTCCTCCTCCTCTACTCCTTCTCCTCCTCCTTCACCTCCTCCCCCACTCACTTTCGTCCAGGCTTCTCAGGTGGGGTCCGAGCAGATAGGGTCGGAGGATCGCGCCGAGTCGCCGATGCCTCGGCGATCCAGGCAGCCGATGTGGAGCCCGAGATTTCCTCCACGCCGAAAGCGCCGACACATCGCCGATGCATCGCCGATGGCGCTTCATCGGCGACGCATCCGTGATGCGGCGCGATTCCCCCGCCCCCTCGAGGCCTCCAGGTTGGCGTCGAGAAGACGGCGTGCGACGTGGCGCCGCCGGCCCCCCCTTGGGGGATCGCGTGCACCGAAGACGCCCTCTCGCGGGGGGGGAACGGCGCGCACGGACGGGGCCCTCTCGCGGGGGGGGGATCGCCTCGCGAGGTCAGCATGCTTCTCTCCGGAGAGCGACGTTGCGCGCCATCTTTCCAAGGCCAGCTACCTCCTCCTCCTCCTCCTCCTCCTCCTCCTCCTCCTCCTCCTCCTCCTCGAGGCGAGGATTTCGATTCTTCGCAGCACCACCGGAGCGGCACACCGCCTCAAGGAAGGCGGCCGCGAGTGGGCCAGGCGACTTGCCCTTGTCCCGTTCCGTCGCAGTTATTTGCCTAAGTGCTCCCTTCGGGGATGCGACTTTCGCTGTCGCTCATGCACAGTTCCCACAGTTCCTTCTTGGCAAGGCGTCGTTATCCTCCTGGGAGCGAGCGCGCACCACGACGGGCGGCGAGGCCTCCGAGGCCTCCTGGCAGGTTTCGGCACCTATGGGGGCCCTCGCCCGGCAGAGCGGCTCGGGACGAGAGACCTGTCTTGGGGAAGCGGCTCGGGATGAGAAATTGTGCCATGCCCCAGAGATCCAGCGCATCGAAAAAATCAAGACGGAGGTTTTTCGCCGTTTTCGGCCTCCAGAGGCCTTCGCCAGGCCTCGGGAGCGTCAAGAATCGACTCAGGACGTCAAGCTGGTCCTGGGCAGTGGGTCGAGACTTCTGGGGACCCCGTATTGACAAAAGAACACGACGTCGGATCTTTGGGGCGACGTCCTGATATGTGTTCCAGGCGCTGTCCCTGGAAGTCCCGGCCCTGTCCTAGGGGCCAGGTGTTCAGCCCGGGCGGTGTCTTGAGAGCCCTGGGGCCCGGCGGGGACCCCCCGAAGGCTGGAGACAGCCGGAAGCCTGGGCGCCGCCAGAGGCGGCGCCAGGGTGTTGAGACCGCCTCCCGACCACTCGGGGGGGGGGGTGTTGAGGCCAGCTGTGACTACCTGGGGGGGAGGTCTGTGCGCAGCCCAAGAGCCTTATGGTAGGTTCGTATCGTGTCCGTACGGAGACCACCCCCGGGCGTTCAAGGTTGAACGCCGCTGGTGGCTCCGAATCGTCCATTGTGGAACGCTCTGGCGATCTCCACGCGGTGTCAGACACCAGCGCCGAAGCCGTCGCGACACGAACCTGCCGTGCCACTTGCGTCCAGACCTCTCGGGGCCCACGTCGGTAGGCAGCAGCGCGACGGCGCAGACTCTCGGCCGGCCCCACAAGGCGCAGGGCGCCCTGGGCGCGCTGGAGCGCCGGCTGCTCTGCCGCCTGGAGGCCTCGGAGCGGCGCTTCGAGGCGCAGCGGTCCGCCGAGGGCGCCCGGCAGCGGGCCTGGAGGGACGGCATCGCGCAGCGCCTGGCCGCCGTCGAGCAGCGCCTGGAGAGCGTCCGGGGCGTGGGGCCGCTGGTGGAGCAGGCCTTTCCGGCCACCCCGCGGCGAATAGGCACAGACGCCCCCCTCGGGCGGAGGGTTCTTGGGCCCCGGGGAAGGGCGACCGTGCATCGATCACCACCGAAGGGCCAGCGGGCTCAGCCCACTCAGTGGAGGCAGAGAAACAAGCTCGCCGGCGGGCGTCGGTGCACGGCGGGCACGCCAAAAGAGCAATTGGCCTGCCAACGGGTGCCCCGCGAGAGTTTCTTATCTCCCGATGGGCCCGCAGAGCCCTGGACGAGGGATATACGTGTCCCTGGATTGCTCATGTGGAGATGTGTCACCGTGTGCGCCTGCTGCGCAAGCTTTTGCGACGCCAGGTCGCTCGGGTCATGCCCGACGTCCAGCGCCTGCAGGACTCGTGTGACAGGGTCCTCGCCGACAGGGCCGCGTTCGACTCGTGGCAACGGCGGCTGGCAGCCTGCGAGGGCGCGGCGCGCCGCGCCAGCGACGCCGATCGGCGGGTGGACGAGCTGTGGGCGCTGGTCGAGCAGACCGCTGGCGAGCAGGGCAGGGTGCTGAGCGAGTGCGTGGGCGAGGTCGAGCTCGGCATGAGCCGGCTCTGCGCCGTGGAGGGCTCCGTCCAGGCCCTGAGCGAGTGCGTGGGCGAGGTCGAGCTGGGCATGAGCCGGCTCTGCGCCGTGGAGGACTCCGTCGAGAGGCTCGACCACGGCTGGCGGGCCGCCTGGGGCCGCCACCGGCGGCGAGACCAGCACGACGTCGACGGCCTGCTGGAGGGCCTCCACCGGCGGCTGCAGGAGGCGGACGCCCGGCACCAGCACGAGTTCGAGCGCATGCGCCAGCACCTGCAGCACCGCTTCGCCGACCTCGCGGGCAGGCTCCGCAGGGCACGAGCCACGCACTCGGAGTCCAACCCGTGGCCAGGCCCCTCCTGGGCCCAGGATCGGCGCAGACGCCTTCCTGGCCTGGGCAGGCAGCATCTGCACCGAACCTGGGCCCAGCCAGGATCGGCGAGCTTGGCCATCGGCGCCGGGGCGATCCCGCTGCTCCACGGGCCTCGCCTGGGGTGCGCTCTGGCCAGAACTGCGGGGCGAGTCCGGCCGCGGCGACGAGGGCCTCCCGGGAGGCCCAGCAACGGCGAACTCGAGTCAAGGGTAGCCGCATATTTAGGGGAACGAAAAGTGGCATAAGCATAAAAACTCGGAGGTCCGCGCGGATTTCTCGGATCGGCGTTGGACCCCCCCTCCCCTGGCGCGCGGAGCGCGCCAGGGGCGGCGCCGCAGGCGCCGGAGGGGGGCCCCAGCGCCCGTGCCGAGAAGTCCGCGCGACCTCCGAGTTTTTATGCTTCTGCCACCTCTTGCTCCCCTAGATATTGGCCCTCCTCCTCGTCCTCCTCCCGAGGCTCCCCGGCGCCGACGCGCGGCGGCGCCGCCCCCCGCGCGCAGCCGCCGCGCGCCGCGCCGCCACCGCGCGCACCGCGGCGCCCGCCGCCGACTGCGCGGGCGGGTGCGCGCCGAGGGCGCCGCGGGCGGCGGCCGGCCGAGCGCGGCGCCGCGCGCGGGCCCGCCGCGCGCCCCGCGGACGCGCCCATGCGGCGCGCCAGAGCCGCCCGCGGCGAGGCGCCCGGCGCCGCGGCGGGCGGCGGCCGCGCGGCGCCGCCGGCGGCCGACGGGCGCGCGCGCGGGAGGCCCTCGGCGAGCCGCGGCGGCGGCGGGGCGGAGGCGGCGGGTTCGCTCGTGGCCCGGCCGCCTGCTCGAGGGCCAGGAGCGGCAGCGGACGTTGATGATCTTCCATAGCTCCACGCGAGTCGCGGGATCGCCCTGGGGCCCCCCTAGCGGCGCCTCTGGCGCCGCACGTGGCGCGCTCCGCGCGCCAGGGGAGGCGGGGTCCAGCGCCGATCCAAGAAGTCCGCGCGGACAGTGTATGTTTATGGTACGCCTCGGGTCGTGAAAAATCACGACGGGAGGCTGTCCACTATCTTCGGCTTCTGGGGGCCCTCGCCAAGCCCCAGGACTGCTGAAAAGGCGCTCAGGATGGAAACCAGTCTCGGGGAAGGGGTCGAGATTTCCGGGGCGCCAGGGGGCAAGCCTTCTTCCTGCCTCCTCCCTCCTCCCTCCTCGTCGTTCCTCCTCGTCGTCCCTCCTCTTCCCTCCTCCTGCATACTCCTCCTCTTCGTCCTCCTCCGGCGCCTCCTTCCTCGTCCCTCCTCGTCCCTCCTCTTCCCTCCTTTGTCCTCCTGAAAGCTTGAAAGCCTGGAGGCCTGAAGGCAGAAAAGGTCGTGGAACGTTGCCCTCCGCCTCTTCATCCTCCTCCTCCTCCTCCTCCTCCTCCTCCTCCTCCTCCTCCTTGTCCTCCTCCTCCTCCTCCTCCTTGTGGTCCACCTCCTCCTGCTGCTCCTCCTTCTACTGCTCCCCCGCTTCTCCTGCTCCCCCTCCTCCTCCTCCTCCTCCTCCGGTCCTCATCCTCCTCCTCCTCCTCCTCCTCCCCTCCTCCTCTCCTCCCTCCTCTCTTCCTATCTCCGCCTCCTCCTCCTCTCCTCGTCCTCCTTCTCCTCCATCCTCCTCCTACCGCTTCGCGGCCCCTCCTCCTCCTTCTCCTCCTCCTCCTCCGCGCTATTCTCCTCCCCTCCATATCCCCCTCCTCTTACTCTTCCTGCCAACTCATTATGTTCCTCCTCCTCTCTCTCTTCTCCTCCTCCTCGCCTCCTCATCCGCCTGGTCCTTCCCTCCTCCCTCCTCCTCCTCCTCCTCCCTCCTCCTCCTCCATCTCCTCGTTCTCCTCCTCTTCGTCCTTCCTCCTCCTCCTTCCTCCTCCTCCTCCTCCTCCTCCTCCTCCCCCCCTCCCCTCCCGCGTTCCTCCTCCTCCTGGTCATCCTCCTCCTCTCCTCCATATCCGCCTTCATATCCTCCTCCTCCTTTTTCTCCTCTTCCTCCTACTCCTTCTCTTCCTCCTCCTCCTCCTCCTCCTCCTCCAGATCCTCCTCCTCCTTCTCATTATTATTATGTTTCTTATTCGTAGTCTTCTTCTTCTTCTTATTATTATTATTATTATCATCAGTATTATTATTAATATTTAAATTATTATCATCATCATCATCAGTATTATTATCATTATTTATTATTATTATTATTGTTATTATTATTAATATTATTAATAATAATAATATTATTATTATTGTTTTATTATTATTACTATTATTATTATTAGCATTATTACTATTAGTAGTGTTAGTACGATTAGTATTAGTATTGCTTGTACTACTACTACTACTACTACTACTACTACTACTACTACTACTACTACTACTACTACTACTACTACTACTACTACTACTACTACTACGACTACTACTACTACCACTACTACTACTACTACTACTACTATTAGTAGTAGTATTAGTATTACTATTATGTGTAATGTGATTGCTATGCTGCTTATTGGTTGCATTATTATCAAAATCATTATTAGTATTACTATTATTATTCTTGTTGTTGTTATTAGTAGTACTATTATTATTTTTATATTAAAGCATTATTATTATGATTATTACTCTTAGGAGTAGTATTATTACTCTTCTCCTCCTCCTCCTCCTCCTGCTCTTTCTCCTCCTCGCTTCTCCTCGCCCCTCCTCCTCCTCCTCCTTTTCCTCGTCCTCCTCCATCTCCTCCTCCTCCTCCTTCTCCTCCTCCTCATCATCATCATCATCCTCCTCCCTCGTCTCTCATCGTCCATGCTCGCCCCTCCTCCTCCTCTTCCTTCTCCTCCTTCTCCTCCTCCTCCATATCCTCGTCCTTCTCATCCTCCTCCTCCTCCATTACCTCCTCCTCCTCCTCCTCCGCCTCCTCCGCCTCCTCCTTCCCTTCTGGTTCCTCCTTGCATTATTTTTCCTCCTCCTCATCCTCCTCGTCCTCCTCCGTCATCTCCATCTCCTCTTCCTTCTCCTCCTCTTCTTCCTCCTCCTCCCCCTCCTTCCTCGTCTCTCCTCGTCCATGCTCGCCCCTTCTCGCCCCTCCTCCTCCTCCTCCTCCTTCTCCTCCTCCTCCTCGTCCTCCTCCCCTCCCCTCCTCCTCCTCCTCCTCCTCCTCCTCCTCCTCCTCCTCCTCCTCCTCCTCCTCCTCCTCCTCCTCCTCCTCCTCCTCCTTCCTCCTCGAGAAGGCAAGCATATGCGCCACCCCCTGGCTAGTGCACGACGTCTCCTGGACGGGCCAGGAGGCCATATGCTCCAAGATTTGGCCTTGAATGAGTTTGTGTAAAGGCCTGGCGGCGGCTTGTTGTATTTACCTTTTGCTCAGGGGGGAGAGGACAGGAGCGGGACCCTGGCGTCCAGAGGGAAGGAGCGCATCCACGAGGGCTTTCGGAGGAAAGGGGGCATGAAGAGGGAATCCGGAGGGAACGGGGGGGGCAGGCAGGGAAAGCGGCATCCTTGAACGAGAGATGTTCCTTTCGAGGTGCGAACCGCCTCACCACGAAGCATACGTAACCCCCATGACCGTACAATCGTAACGCGGACAGGCTTTGAGGTCTTGGATCTGGCTTCCGCCCAGTTCCCCGCTCGAATTAAACATAGTAAGTTTAAATAGTGGTGAAGCAAAAACCGATCAGATTTGGAGAACATTGATCGGGCATTCGATTTGGAGAAAACGGATTTCAGATCCACGCGGACGGAAATCACACCCACCCCAACGTAATTACCGATGCTGGATCCGCACATCCTGAAATCAGATCAACCTCGATTGCAGTCGTGCGGTCCGCTGCTTCTCCTGACGACGCCCGTTCCAGGCCCGAGGGAAACAAACTTTTGTCCTGGGGATGTAGGCACAGATATGCGATGGTTCGATTTTGTCCATTTGCCCCCCCCCCCCCCCCCGAAGCCCCGACCCTTTCTTTCTCCAGGGCCCGTTTTTCATCCCGAGTCGATTTTTCGACGGTCCCGAGACCCGTCGAGAGCCCCCGGAGGCCGAGAACAGCCGAACATTTCTCGTCGTGATTTTTCCACGACGCGAGCACGTCTGGGGTCGATGGCGCGCCCCTCGACGACAGCGCGCGCACAGTGAGCGAGCGCACCGCGACAGCTCCCCCGCCCGCGGCAGGCGGCGCAGCCGCCCTTGGCGCGCGTGCAGCAGCCCGGCGCCGCCGCCCGCGGCGCGCCCCGCGAGGGCGCCGCCCCCCGCGAGGCCGCGGGCTGGCACCAACCTGCCGCCCCCTCCGCGCCGCCGCTGACCGACGACGCCGCCTTCGGCGTCGGCGGCGTCCTCGCGGCGCCCGCTGGCGCACGGCGGCGTCCTCGCGGCGCCCGCGCGCGCGGCTGCGGGCCCGCCGGCCCTGCGCCGACGCGGCGGCGGCGCCGCCGCCACCGGAGACAGCCCCTCGGGCGGCGTCCTCGGTCGCCGCCCGCGCGCGCTTGCGCGGCGGCTGGCCTGCGCCGACGCGGGGGTGGCGCCGCCGCCGGAGGACGCCGCCGGCGCGGCGTCGGCGGGGGGAACGCGAGGCGCGTGCTGTGGCGCGTGCGGCGCCGCGGGGCGCGCCGGAGGGGCTCGGAGCGCGGGCCCCCGGCGGGTCGACTCGGAAGGAGCGCGGTCGGAGGGTAGGCGAGGAGCTGGAGGAGCGAAGTAGGTGGAGGAGGAGGGGAGGAGGACGAGGAGGTGGAGAGGAGTGGAGGAGGAGGTGAAAAAAAAATAAACCCAAAAAGAAAAAGGGGAATCCAAAACAAATGAGGAGCGATGAGGGAGTGAGGCTTGAGTGATGTGGAGGAGGACTGGATGTGGATTAGGAGGTGCAGTAGGCTGAGGAGGAGGTGTAGGAGGTGCCTTTGCGGCGGCCTCGGCGGTGGAGGCGGGAGGCTGGGCGGACGGAAGGACGGCAGAGCATGAGGAGTAGCATCAGGAGGAGCAGGAGGATTGAGGATTAATAGGAGGAGGGGGGATGATGTAATGATGATGAGATGATGATTGATCATTATGATGTTGATGAAAAAAAAAAAAGTTATATGATGCTGAATGATGTTGATGATATGATGATGAGGATATGAATGATGATCGAGGATGTAGATTTCAATGATGCGATGCGGCTGATGATTATTATGATGACGATGACGATGATGATGATTGAGGATGATGATTGATGATATGATGATGGGATGATGAGAGCTGATGCTTGATGCTGATGCTGATGCTGATGACGATGGTGATGATGATGATGAGGAGGAGGAGGAGGAGGAGGAGGAGGGAGACGACGACAGAGAGGTCATGGGAGATGGAGGGAGTCCTCCCCTTCTCCCTCGTCCCCCGTCCTCGACCTCACATTCATCCATCACCTGCTCCTCCAACTCCATCTGCTCCTCCTCCTCCTCCTGTTCCTTCTGCTCCTCTTCCGCCTCCTCCTCCTCCTCCTGCCCCGTCCTCCCGTTCATCCTCCTCCG